GAAGGAAAAGTTGGTCAACAATTTTGAGAGTTTGCTTTTACATGGAAACGAAGATTTTTAAGAGCAAATATTGAACCGGGAAGAAAAAAGAAGAACAAGATAAGTCTAAGCGCATATGGCACGAAAACAAAATCCAATTGCAGTAAGACTTGATCTGAATGGTAGTTCAGATTCAAGTTGATTCAGTGAAGGCGCGAAAGTCGCCGAATAAGTCAGTTTTTTCCTTCAATTTGTTCTGTATTTAAAATAAAAAAACATGATAGGACATTACAGAGGTTCGGATCGTCCGGAAGGAAGCCTTCTTCGCTGTCCACCTGAGCTGTGCAGGAGAAGCCCAAAGCCAATCCCAAGGAACAATAAAGTTTCTTAGGGTCTTTCTTTACAAATGTAGTTAACCCGCATCTTCGTAAATATGTCTATTTCACGGAATATCTCTCCGAGACAGTGTTCAGATCATTATGCCTTTTGTGTGAGTTGAAACTTACCTAAAAAGAATTTCGCTACCTTAGGACCGGTGTAGATACGACCGCCGTTCACCGGGGCTTTCATTCAAACCTTATAACCCTTCTCCTTTTTAACTTTCCAGCACTGGGCAGGTGTCAGACTATACATCGAGTTACCTCTTAGCGAAGTCCTGTGTTTTGTCAAGTTGATCGGCAGTATAGTCCGCATCGAAGAGAATTAAGTCAAAAAATAAAAAGAAGAGTCGAGTCCCACTGAATAAACTTGCAACATACTTCCCAGGATGATAATGAATAGGCAAAGCTATGACTGCACCAGTACTTTAAATCACTAAGCAAAGATATATATTGGACTTTGACACCCAGAAAATTACATCGCATAAAGCTTAATCTTGCTTCCTCACAGCATTCAGGCTGGCTGTACAGCTGAAATTCTATTACAGCTTGATTAGAAGTTCAAATAACTAAATTACAAAGTTCCAAATCCTACATCTTGGATGTTAAATTCCTGAACTGTTTCATCACAGAGCACATTACAGCATTAAATCTCAAATGAGGGGCCTGCAGGAACAATACCATAGAGCTCCATGCTATGAACAAAATACTATCCACCAGAGGGAAGAGGAAAATTGTGGTATTGACACTGTATTATTTGGGAGTGGTACGTAATATGCCAATAACAACGGGTGAAAGCTACAAGCAAGGGACTGACTCACCGGAACATACTGACAGATTCTCAAAATTTGCGACTGTCTTTTTTTTTTTTTCAGAAAATGAATAAGAAGAACGGGAAGAACAATATCCAACATACATGCTATGAACAAAGACATATGTTGGCGATGGTAAAACAAATAAATACACTCACATGCAGATCAAACCGAGCACAAAGCTGAGAATCTTACAGCAGCGAATTGGTTGCTATGTTCATCTTTAAACCACTCAAGCAGCTGTCCATTCTGGAAAACAGAAAGTTTACCTCTGTTTAGTATCTCCTGCCCAAACCTGTTTATACATATTGAAATTGTATAACTTGTGCGTTAAACAGGCAAGCTGGCATTTTAAGCCACTCCCTCTCCCAAAGTGTTCATGTCAAGAGTAATGATGTATTTTAACACTTATCGAACAGGCAAAAATAGGTCTTAGCAAATATGATTAGCATATCAGACATCCAAAGATGGATTGAGTTCAGCTCCAGGATCCGTTTGTCATACCCAATAGTTAAGTGTTAGTATTTCAGATGCTGATGCCTAACCCCACACCAACTACCAATTTGACAAGTCCCTTTTAATTGAGTGTTGAGCCTAGAGTAGAAGAATGCCCAAACAAATGCATATTAAGAAACTTTAGAATGTAGCTTACTTGTAAATCTACTCATGGGACCTTCGCCATTTATTGACATCGGTACAAGTCGTCTTTCATGGCCTAATGATAAAATTTCTTGCATCCTTTCTGGCCAATCAGAATTCAACCTCCTAGCAAAGTCCTCCACTTCCCTAGAAGGAATAATTAAACAAATCAACACATAAATAAATTAATAAATGGATCTGAATGCAGTTATAAAAGCCTACACA